TGCCTTCGGCTCAGGTCATGATCCTGGAGTCCCTGGATCGAGTCCCGCATCGGGCTCCCTGCTCGGCAGGGAGTCTGCTTCTCCCTCTGACCCTCACCCCTCTCATGTGCTCTCTCTCATTCTCTCTCAAATAATAAAATAAATAAAATCTTGAAAAAAAGAAAAAGCAAACTAACAATAACAACTTAGGCATTCCTTCTGAATTTACCATATGAGAATTACGAATAAAGGATCATTTAATTTAATTGTGATTAGAGTCTATATAGAGCTCTTTAAGTAGTCTTTCATCTGTAAGTCTTTATCCTGTTCAAAATTTGCTGAACTTTTTAAATAGGTGGTTTTCCTCCACATAAAGTACACAGTTCTTCAGGTTCAACAGTTCATTGTGTTTATTCACTTTTGCTTTTGCAAGCATTGTTCCTAACTATAGATACAACTTGTTGCAAAAGTGATGCGTTTTCCTAAATATTTTTTTAAAGTACAGGTAAACTTTAATCTATTAGAACATTAAAATTCAGAAGGAACAGTGTTAACACTTGGGATATAACGAGAGTGATGTGCTGTGAATCGTTGGATTAAACGACACCTGCTCTAACCTACACCTTAATGGAATCTGGTACAGGGACATGCCCCATAATAAATGTTTCATAACTATAAGGCTTAAGATTATAACTAGTAGGTTAGAGGAAAAGCACTTAGGCAGTTTGTTATTTGTAATTTGTCACTGTGTGACATTTCCCCTATATCATTCAATTTTAATTTTCCATTGCTGATTGAAAGTACATAAAATTGTATTATCTTTCTGCTGGGGTCATGGATCTAACTTAAGTGGTTTAATTTGATTTTTGTCACTATGTTTTATTATACTTGGGCTCTGAGTGTCTCTCTTTAATCAAAAGTTTCTCATATAAAGTAATTTGGTTGTGTTCTGCTTGGTCATATTCCTAAGTATCACCAAGGAAAATGCTATATTGGCCTCCCACTTGAAGCTTAATAGCCTTTAACTCGGGTCGGGGTGTGGGGAGGATAGGATCCTGAGGAGGGCCTAGTGGGGTAGTTTGAAAGGAAGATAACAAAACAAGGAAGTAGGAGAAAGAACTCTGAAGAGGTAAAGAGTAGGTGTTATCTCAGATGTCACTGAATGTTTCCCTGTTAAGGGATGTACTGTGTATGGCAGCTCTTTGCACCATATAACAGTCTTTCTTGTATCCAACGGGAAAACCTGCAGGCTTCACACAGAATATGTGAATTAAGACTGGAGTGAAGAGGGCAAAGGTTAATAATACCTATAATGAGAATTTATATTTTCATCTGCTTTGTCTCTTCATACAGAAGCAAGTTTGAACAGAGAGGGTCAACAATTACAGTGCTCAAATTAAAGTTTAGGACCAGGTTATTTTTCATATTTTATGAAACGTGGTAAACATTAATTAGTCTTCCAAAAATGGACAGCACTATTTAGTAACTGCACTGAATACTGAAATTTGCTGATTGACAAAGTATATATCAGTAGCTAGAATTTCTTCAACTACAGTTTCAGAATTTAAAAAGGTAAAAGTTCTGCCTTTTGATAGAGACTTCTTGTAGATGACTACAGTGTTACTATTTGGCTGTTTTTATGTGAGTGCTCAGGGAATTTGGAAGTGTTTGATTTAGTGCAGAAGTGGCTTTTTTAGATTTCTTCAATCAAGAGGTAAATTAGCATTAGGATATTATTGGTTAGAACGGGCCAGTTTCTTGTTGAGATCGGTAAAAGTGTGTATATAAGGTGACAATAGCTTCGTCCTTTTTCCTGTGTTATATGTGGAAAATTGCTCAATCAGAAGGGAGAAGATAGGCTGAAAATAGAAATTTGCTAATCCCTTCCATCATGTTTTCTTGCTTATTTTTTCAAATATTTAGATATTTGAGAAATGGATCACAAACCTCAAAGGGAAGGAATAGAGGAGTTAATGTGCTTATTAGTTAGACCAGCTACTCTGTTAGAGTTTATCCTTGTCACAGGGAACAGGAATTGTGTGATTTGAGTCACTGGGAGAAAGCATGAAGAATTTAGACTCACCTGGGAAGGTCAGCTGGTAAGGGAAGTGGGAGGTTTTCTACTCAGTGTTCTCATAGTACAGAAGAACTACCTAGGGATTCTTTCCCTCACCTCTTCCGCGGTCCCAAGATTCTGAATGAATTAGAATCAGAGCAGAGGTGAGTCCCAGTAAAGTAAGTTTCTTTTAAAGTTCTAATGGCACTTGAAAATAAGTATTGTGTTGAACATGAGGAGTGACACTAAAATTTTAACATAGCTGTTGCTTTGTTGCAACTACATATGGTAGATCTACTTAATTTCTTATGTTTTGAGAATTACTTTTAAGAATACTATGAAAAGTTCACATAAAGCAACTTAAATCAAACACCTGATGAAAATCAAGGGTTTAATTAAGCTTTCAGATCGATAAAGAATTATATTGAGCTGTTTGCTTCATATAGCTATCTGATTCTATCTTGTAAGACATTCTACAAGGGGTTAAAACATTTACATTTTGGAATCTGTGTTTTCACAATCAGTGTGGCTAAGGAGGAACTTGGAAAATAATACTAATTAGCTATTCCACTGCACTTTTTGTATACGAACTTTCTAAAGTTGTGCCCCTTAAACCGTTTATGTACATAAACCTAGCTAGCAAATGTTGGAGGTGTGTTCAGGGCCACTGACTTGCACAGTCCATAGAACACTATGCACATAGAACACAATTTAGAGTGAGTTAGACACCTACACACTTTGATACAGATT